TTTCTGTCCTACTGTGACGTCAAGCAGCTGTCCCGTACAGTATAAAATATTTAAAGCATATCTGACTTGATGCTGCTGCCTCTGTGTCTTAACATAATAATTCTGTACACAGACACCGCTCGTCCTCACTCTCCCCTGCCTCATTTCCCTTTTCCACTCAGGTCTCTGCTTTAAAAAGTAACCTCTGTGTCAAGCATCTGAGCCTAAATGGGAAAAGGAAACCACCTCATTACCACCTGCAGGTGGTAATGAGGTGGTTTAGGAGTAAAGTCACATAATCACCTTCAGATAGCCTACTCTGTCCGTTCATCAGCCCTAATGCAGTAATGAGACTTTGAGGCTAAATGAAAAAGTTTTAAAGACGCTGAGTACGCAGTAAAGTGAGGATAAGAGGTTGGCTTGTTTGGGAAACTGCAGCTTTTCCGACAAGAAGGAAAAAAGAAGATGAAGTTGATGTCACATCAGAATCACACTTCAGCTTGTTTCACGGAACAGGCTTGGGTAGTGTGCCATTTTGAAAAAAAACTTTAATGCCATTAGAGAACTGTGAGTTAAGTTATACCACATTCTAAGAGCTATTGTTCCGCTGGAAGAAGAGGACCAATGCCCTTGCCTTGTCAGCACTGGGAAAAGAAGGGAAAGCTAAATGGATGGCAGCTGGGGGTAGTTTTACTACCTCTTCCAGCATGGCACATGCATTTACAATGTATACCTATACAAATATGTAATATAATTTTGATGCTATTTATGGTCAACATTCCCACATTGCAAATTGCATTAATGCAAGTTCCACATTAATTTGCAAGATATTCACAGGAAATGACAGTGATGATGATTTAGAACATAAACAAATGGTGCAGGACAGCACTGTTGACTGTCCTCTTTAGTCTCTACCAAATGTTTGCATGTTTGCTACCCACAGTGATAAATACATGTCTGGGGCAAGTATTATTGAGTAAGTGCCTGTTCTAAACCTGCCTGTTAGGAATGGGCTGTTCTCTTGTCCTGTGTCAATGCTCCAGATCTACTTCAGAATCATTCCTTGTCATTAGTGAGTCCTTCTCAAGAGTGAAATTAGAAAACTTTGCATTCATCCTACCTGGTTTATCCACAATGAAGCTCTTCTTTTTCCATGATAAACCAGATTATTATTTTTTTTAATACGTTTTAATATGTTTTAATACTCTTTAACTTTAATACTGGATTTGCTTGATTAATATTCAGGTGTGTGAATTGTATAATAAGCGTATTATTTTTTTCATACATTGCATGTTGGCTTATTTTCTTTTACTATTATTTATGAATGTGGACAGATGTGTGAATAAGAATGTGTATCTGTATGGATCTTCTTTTTTTTTGGTGCTGCACAACTAATCTTGTTACTAACTCTGTTAAGCAATCGACACAATCTTTAGACCCAAGTTCACAACTTATCAAAATGAAAGCTCTTTAATTTAGCTTGATGTAAATCACCGCAGTAATGAAATGAACGTTGTGCTTTTCCTTTTTAGACAAGTTGCTAAAGATAGAACTGATTCTCTGAATGCTGCTGCAGTGACAGAGAGCAGCACCAGTGACACCCGTGGACGTCTATGGTACACCCTTATGGGGAAATAAAAAGAAACAAATCATCAAAATGATCTAGCGGGCCAGACATTATTGCTGGCATGCCAGTTTTGGCTCGCCCGCTGGCGGTTGCTGTTGGTTATTCGAGGACGTGGAAGAAGTCATGTTCAACTCAGTCCACAGACTGATATTTAAGGCTGAGCCCCCACTGACTGCAAGGCGCTGTTTACATGTTGTTGTTTTTTATTCTATTAATATTGAACATATCTTGTGTCTTAATTGCACTAAATTCAACAGTATACTTCCTCAACCATTAACAATACACATGCCAAGTATGAAACAGAGAAGATAAACAGTTCTGATATATGTGTTCCGCAACAAGAGACAGACAGAGATTTTTGGAATTAGTAGATGGATGGAAGATAGAGAGATGGCAATCATCACTAAATCAGCTTTTAAAGAACAAGTTTTTACTACATGGGGCAGAATTCAAAAACAAGCTGGAAATCACACATTAGTCATATTATGGCCAGATTTAGTTTTTAAGTCTAATATTTACATGTCAAGCATAGATTAGCATAATGTCTGACGGACGTAAATGTCCAGGGTAGCTGTCGCCCAGGATGTGAAACAGGTGTTCTACAAATCAGAACGTCAGTGGTTCGATCCCCCAGGTCCTCCGGGCCACATATTGGGCAAGACCAAACACCCAAATAGCTCATGATGGCTGAGCCAGCAGTGTGTGAGAGGGGTGTGTGATCAGGAGTCCTGCATGAATGTGTGTGTGAATGGGTAAATGTGATTAATAGAGCAAAGCACTTTGAGTGGTTGCTAAGACAATAGAAGCACTATAGGAATGCTGTACATGCACTGCATTCATATATTTCATTATTTTCCCTCTTACAGCCCTTTCTCCACTGATTCTTTCCAGGAAATACATTTTTCAAGAAAATGAAATACAAATTTTATTTTCTGGACTCCAAAACTGCTTCCCTTTATTATTATTGTCCTTTCTTGTTTTTGACATAGTTTTATTATTATCATTTGAGTCGTTAATTAACAAATGTCTCTCATGCATCTTACTACAAAATACAATATTTATTAGGGGAAATACTGAACTAAATATGGAACACATTCATTAATCCCATAGACTGTAAAGACAGATGATCCGTCTCCAATTCCTCCCGTTGTACAAAAATTTAACAGCATTTTTCCAGATTCAGGTGCTGCCATCTTGCACTTGACCTCATTTGGAGCCAGTCTGCACAGCAGTGATCTTGGTGTGGTGCCGTGGTTGTGAGGTCCTGCCAATACATGCACTCCACCAATTGCTCAACAGTCTCAGCTGTCAATCATTACATTTAACCCCATTTTCACTTATTTTACTTTGCCTTTCCTGCATTACTTTACTTGCCCACTAGCTGGCTAAATTGTTAGCCTCCATGACTCCTAGACAGACTATAATGTTAGTTTCCAAATCAGCCTTTCAAACACAATACAGACGGTTGTTCATCTGTGTTTCCACTGCAGTCTAAAGACCAGGATTAGGCAATTTGGCCTGATTTAGGAACAACTGATGGCAACAACAAGCTATACCCCTCCAGTCCACCAGGCAGTGGTGATGCAAAAGACTTGGAGAGTTACTGCTTTTGAGATGAGATTAATGAGTCAAAGTTGGAAAAGAGAGGTGAACTGTAACAAAGCATATTTGAAAGACCCCCAAAGCTAGACTAACGCAAGAAAACATGTTTTACAAGATATTGTGGAGATTGACAGTGAGTTGACAGAGATATACTATCCCACCATACAGGAGTGCTCGACAAATCTGGCATCTTCAGTGCTGCATGCCAGGTTCCTCATGTGGAAACGCAGCTTATGATGCCCAACAAGTGAACATGGTCATTGAAGACAGTGTTCATGTCAAAATATTGACAACTGCAGCTTTAAGGATTATTTAAATTCAAATGATTTCAATCATTTATTTACCTATTCATTAAATGACAGGGAAGATGTTCCAATACAAAAGCCTCACAGTGAACTTAATGGTACATTCACACCAAAGCAAACACAGCCCTCAGTGCAGGGTCACACAAACCCACACTTTCACTTCCTGTGTTAAATCTGCACGCTGGATTGGTAGAGTTCAACTTTGGTGAACTTTGACCAGAGATATTCACTTCACATATTCACTTCACATTCAGATATGTGAGACTTGGCCTTGAGACATTTTTGAAGTGATGCCCAGTGTACAAATAAACATCTCATTCAATCAACCCAGTGAAATCAATGCCGTGCGTAGCACTTTGTTATGAAGTAGTCTGATGCAGAAGTGTTTATCAGTCAGTTAACCCTCAGTCCACAAACTACAATATTCTCCAGCACAGCTTTATTACAGGTGTCTCTGACAACATTGACGATGCCTCACTCCTTTAAGTATCAGCCAACCTTCACTGAGACAGAGCTGGACCCACCTGAGTGAATTACAGTCACTGTTACAGGGATTAATTACACCTGCATGAGAGAGGCCTGCTGGGTAACTGTGACCGACCATCATCGCCATGACACTAACACAAACTAGTCAGCAGCGAAGCCCTCACGGCAGTGTGACATTTTGCTTTTCATGCTCTTTAACAAAAGAAGAATCACTTCACCAAGTCGTAGTGAGATGAGAATGGTGAGTTTCACCGGCTGTCAGACAGTCTTTACCAAACTGCCCCTCTTCCTTTTATTGTGGTAATCTCCATCTCTGGCAATGACTTAAATAATTCAACACATAAATCTGGGCTCAGAAACTATGCCATCACCTCACCTCACATTTCCTGTCAGAGTGTCTGCAGCACATTTTATCAGGAATACAGCTGTTTATCAGCTTTATAATAAGAAGCATCTTTTTCTGAGGCATAGGCTGCAACGATCTTAAATAGCAGAACCAACAGAAAAATAATAAAACAAAAAACTCCACCTCAATTGATTTATTAAACCTTATACTTTTATTTATAGCTCCACTGAACGAAAAAAAAAACCTCCCTACAATCTTTTGCATGTTCTCTCGCACTGACTTTTGCTTGGTGCTTTTAACACCACTTTGAGTGATGGATGTGATTCCTGTTAGTCTCAAACAGAGTCTACTCAGCGCATCCATGTGATGTGAGAGTCGCGCTCTCCAAAGCACTCAGAATAAATCCTGGTGCTGCTGGTTGCTGCACCCCCCCACGCACTTCTACACCCACAGCACATGCTAATTCTTCTTTAAGGAGAAGACAAGAGCTGCTCCGTGCACGGTGAAGACGCACAATGCTGACTGACAGCAGGAGGAAAAGTCTGGTAATGAATAGAAACCGGCAGGAAATTACGCGCACTGATATCAGAGCCTCCTCAACAAACTGACTTTAATATAAAACATGGATAAATATAAGAGGATGTTTGTTTCTCACCTGCAGGAGACGGTGACTTCAATCTTTGTAGCAGGGACGGTGGAGTTGAGTGGGTCGAAATCTCCTATTGTCGCCATGGCTCAGGCTTTTTTTTTTTTAAATTTATAAGCACTCAATCTATCAATTAATCACTCAACCCTCGAAGTTTGCACTTGTGTCACAGCTGGATTTTCCTCTGGCCACTCTGTTGGCTCCACCGCTGGATGAGAGACTGAAGCAGCCGGAGCCGGTTGTAGTAATAGTTGGTGCTGACGGTGGCTGGAGCGCAGCGGAGGGTAAAGAGACATACCTGAGGACGAGAGAGGGGGAGGGACAGAGAGAGAGAGAGAGAGAGAGAGAGAGAGAGAGAGAGAGAGAGATCAGATTCTCTCACTCCCCTGCCTCTTATTTCTCTCCATCCATCGCCAGGTGGAGGCAGAGACCTCCTCCACTTCCTCGAGCGGAGCCTGGCCGCTACTTGCGGTCCCTGTATGGCGGGTGATTGGTGCCACAGGAGGAGCAGGCGGAAGGAGCGGAACAGCTTTGACAGAACATTATACTGTTTGTATCCCTGGCCCGTTAATTGCTGATTTTAGTTGTGCAAGCATATTTTATCAACTAAGAAACCACCAGTTAAGAAACTAAACCAGAACACTGTAGTTGTGTAAAACATGGCACCATAAAAAAGTGTGGACAACGTCTGGTTCACTGTGTCCATCACAATGGGAGCAAGGGAGAACAGACACTCGAAGAAGATCAGAGGCTCCTTCTTAGATGATAACCCTTTTGTATATTAGAATGGACAACGACAGAGCTAAGTGAAGTGAAGCCAAAACATCTTGATTGCCCCCTGGTGGCTGGCTGCAGTAGAGGTTATGAACTTTGAACACGCCATGTTAGCAAATTGGACACTTAATACTTTAAATAATTTTTCATAATGATGAGAGATAGTTCTTAACAATTTGTTTTTTATTTTAATTTGTCATTTAACACTATAAAGATGGAGATATACAATGATTGACAGCTGAGATTTGCTCATGATTAGTCAGGTGGGTGCATCAGTGGGACCTCAACACCGCGACTCCACTCCACAATCAATGAAAGGACTCTGGTCACTTTTCCCAGCGGGAGGAATTGGAGATGCAATGTGTACGTTTATGTGCCATCACTGGTCAAACACGTGGACTCCATGGTTAGACCCTCAGTTCAAATGAGGAAAAATGTCACAGTATAAATAAGGAAATTGCACTACACAAGTGTAGCGATAATACAGTGGACATCAAGTCAATCACCAGTGTTAAATTCCTGAGAACACATCGACACCTCTGACCAAAAGAAGTATGAACCAAATACAAAAGATATGTTTATATCTATATCTAACATATCTATTGTGACTGAGCCTGACACTTTTGTTGCACTGTTGTTAGAGTGCTTTCCATTTGTTTATAATAGATTCTGCTTTAAAAAGGAGTTTTAGTGTAAGTGTAACAGTGTATGTTGGACTCAATACTCAGAGTCAGTGGGAAATTACCTTTGATGCCACTCTCAGAGAACACAGGAAAAGACAGGCAGGTGATCAGAGACTCCAGGTAGAAATCAGGAGTCTCCAGATATATGGACTCGACCCGTGGGCTCAGGCTGAACGAGCAGGCAGAAGAGCAGGGAAATTCTCACAGTCGTGTCAGGGATCTTCACCACAGAAATGTGCAGTCCAAGGTGGAAAAAACACAGGTCGACATGTGAAAATGCCAAACAGCCACGCGCAGACAGGAACCAGGTACACAGAAACAAATCTTGTAGTCTGGAACATAAGGCTGAGTTTTTTTCAGGGAATCAGGCGTCAGGGACATGCAGGGATGGCGACAGGGAATCAGCCTGACAATAAACATTGGAAAGCCTTGCATGGGATATGGTAAAGAACAATCTGCCAGTGAGCGAGTGTGTGAGTGACCGGGGTTTAAATACTGGCTTGATTACTGATCAGAAGCAGGTGCCCATGTAAACAGAGTTGGGCTGATGAGGTGGGTGTGACTGACTGCTGGGTGAGGTGAGGGGAAAAGGAACCGAGGGAGAGTAAACTGAATGACCAGTGCCACAGCAGACAAAAGTGATTTATTTCATAAATCAGGTAGAAAATGCAGCAATCACAGAACAGCAAAGATCCGACAGGTTACGGCATAGTAGGCAAGGTCCTGTTGAGAGCCTCCACTCCAATCACCAGCCGGACCTAAAACTCACAGACACATGCAAAACACAGAACAGGGTGAACAGCACCACCCTTAGGCAGGGAGGGAGAACATCACCATAAATCCCACACATTATGACTCAGAGTCATAAAACAGTATGCAATTTTAGCAACAACAATTTTCAGCTAAATGGCATGCTAGCAACATGTGAGGCTAACCAGCATGTTGCCTGCGCCAACCAACAATTAACCAACCAAACAAACCAATCAGTCCTTTCTCTTCTATTGCACTTCGGTCCATCTTGGGATCTGTTTTTTCTGTAATTTTCTAGGGTTAAGGGCAAAGGAGGTTGCACCTTGTGATTTGTGATTTTGTATATATGGGCTATAGAAATAAAATTTGATTGATTGATTTGACTAACTTTTTGCCCCAGTTAATCTTTCTTTGAACCTAAAACCTTTCACTCGACAAGCAGTTATTACTTCTTTCCTTCTTCTTTGAGGTTTTACAGCAGCTGGCGTCCTTAATGCCTCATTACTGCCTCCTTTAAGTAAGTTGGCCTGGAAATAACTTTGTAGGTCAACTTACTAATTTTCTCATTTTTTTGCAACAGTCTGATCATTTCTTTTTCCATATAAGGGTGGCATGATGGTGCAATCGTCAGCACTGTTACCTCACAGCAAGAAAGGTAGATAGCGACATAACTCACATGGCCATTCACATACACTAGGAATGGGCATGCCAGTGTAAACAGGAAACAGACTTTCTACCCTGCAGTTGTTTGCATAGTTGCAAGAAATTCTACAAATGAGGAACAGCAATTGTGAAATGTAAGAGCGAGAGAGAGAAATCATGAGGAGAATATGGTTCATGGATTTTATTTCATTTTCAAAAGTCTCAGTTTTAGGGACTCAAAAACTCCAGAGTATATAGGACACCAGATGTCAACATAGCAAAATTGAGGCATTTAAAACAAAAACATTAGTATGGTTGTAGCCTATACGTCAGCACTGTGATAGACTGGCTACCTGACCAGGGTGTATTCTGCCTCTCGCCTCATGTCAGCTGGAGGGCTTTGAGGGCACTACCTGCTTTAGGCTCTGCCTTTGACCTCCCCAACATGGCAACATGTAGACGCATGCAGCAGGGACGTGCAAGGACATTTTGGGGGGCAGGGGCTCAAGTGAGAACAAGAGAGAGGTACTTCTCATAATTATTTATAAAAAAATGTTTTAAAACACAAAGTTTAATAAAGAAGTACATCTCTGACTTACTCACCAATTTATTTTAATACACTCAACAGTTCAACCAAAGACAATGCTCTTGTTTAGTATTCACTAGGTTTATCGCAAGAGCAGCAACAATAAAGGAAACTATGCCACAATGTGCATGTTTTTCTTTCTACTGTAGATTCTAGTATAATTGATCTGCAGCTGCTGTAGCACTTCGGCCTAAGACAAATTTACCCGCGGGACAATAAAGTATATTTGATTTGATATATTTTGAATAACACACACACACACACACACACACACACATAATAACTGATAGTGACAAGGACTTACCTAGGATTCCCTTCTTTCACATTTGTCTGTATCATGTATCAATAAAGATCTATCAGCAAACAACAAACTAGTAGAATGAATAGTTATTAGACGAGGAGCCTACAATCAAAAGGACTTAAATAACCCTAACCCTAACCCAGTTACTGTTTTAGGCAAAAACATTGTTTTTTCATGTACTGGTCAATTCTGAGATTGTGGTCTATTTTGCTTCCATGGATTCTTTTCTAATCTGCATATTTAATTAAACATAACATTACTTGATGTAAATCATTAACTGGGAAAGTTCTGTGGTGATATGTTGTAGTCATTTTTTTCAAATCCTATTCACCTGCTGTGCCAATTAGCACATTTTCATAAGAAAACAAACACCTAATTTGTATACCACAGTGGGGATTGTGATGACATCATTAGATACAAATTTGACTGTATTTACCTGTAGTGTCTCCCCTGTATGTCCTAACTTATTACATTAGCTAGTAGCTCATGCGTGTACATTAGCAAGACACAAGTTGTATATATTTTTTTTTGTCTTTTGGCTAATTAGATGTAAACTGAACGGACTGGTAGCTTAGTCCTTTGTTCATCACCGCTCACCTCCACACAAGCGAAGAAAAACCAGCTCAACTGGGACAGGAGCTGGAAGCTGAAGAAACAGAAAGTAAACATCAGTCCTGTACGTGTCCTAGTAACTTGTGATCAGAGATGGTGTCTATTGTGTAAAGGGTAAAGTGAGCGCAGGTCAGAGAGTTAGGGTTAGGGGGAAGCAGACTCCGACTGAGACTCTAGAACAGGACCAAACCTGTCATATGCATCTGTTCTGATCCAGGAGCAGCGCTGGTTATAATTATTGAGAAGAGACCACTTCGGCGTCACGATGCATCGAGTTGCTCACCAGTGTGCAGGAGATGTGGAGGGAGGGAGGGTAGTAAGAATAAGAAGTCCTTTATTAATCCTGCAATGGGGAAATTTGCAATGTTACAACAGCAAAAAGTGCTGCAGAAATCCACCACCAGTTAGAGACTAAGTCTAATCTCCCAACCAATTTTTTTATATATTTCAATATATTGGTTGGACAGGGAAACTGCGCAAAAAGGACTTTAATATGAATTTATTTAAAATAGAAAGCACCCCAGACAAAGGGTGCTGTCTCTCGAGGAAGAAAAAGGGCAGGGGTTTAAGCCCCCTCTGATGTCTACGTGTGCACGTGCCAGCATTGCAATGTCTCAAATGATTGTAAATTATTAAAGGCTCAGTGTATAAGATTTAGGTGAAAGGGATTTTTGGCAGAAATTGAATATAAAATAATCCTAGTGATGTTTTCAATGGTGTGTTTCATCTAAATTGTATGAATTGTTGTTTTCTTTACCCGAGAATGGACCATTTATATTTAAAAACGTTGTATTTACATGGAGGGGGGTCCTCTCTGTGGAGGCCGCCATGTTTTTTTATTGTCGTCCAAACTGGAAAAACTAAAACCTTTTTCTCATGACAACTTAAGTTCACCACAGGTTCTGTTCCATGTTGGCAAGGGGAGGGTGAGATGAGGAGTATTCAGCTGCAACATGCAACTTCACCTCTAGATGTCACTAAATTCTACACACTGAACCTTTAAGGCAAGATGAAAGGTTTCTGTCATGAACACATTGTTGTAAGAAAAAGAAGAGTGGGCTGACGGAAAATGCAAGAAACTGAAAGGGGGACAAGAAAAAAGGCAGACGGAGAAAGTTTGATGAGCAAAATGGAAGAGAAAAGAAGCTGGAAGAGGACAACATGGAGCACAAAGAGGAGGAGAAAGTAGAGAATGTGGAGAGTTCAAATCCAAAAGCAAAGGGAAATAGAGCAGGAAAGCAGGAGGACAACTGGATGGAGAAACTAAATGTAAAGAAGGTGGGAAGCCTGGCACAAATCCCCCCTGGCATTAATCAGCCCTCCTATATTTCTAAGCCTATGTAATATTTCAGGAATTGATATTTCATTAACACCGGAACCATTTCAGAGTGAGCCAACAGGAACATGTACTGTTCAGGTTCCAGTGATCATCTGACCTGCTGCAGTTTGACCTCTAATGTTAAAAAGAGTGAATAGAGAATGTATACACCACACCAGACGTGTTAAGAAATAGCTTCAAAGTGCAAATTTGAAACATCCAGTTATATAACTGCTTTATGCAATCACATTATATACACACTGAAATCTTATTTGCCAAACTTTACTCATGTGTAAACACTTAACATCAGCTCTGTTGCTGAGGGAGGTAGATTATGTGTAAATAGTTAATGCATCTCACAGTGGATTATAATGAATAAATCAGAAGCACATTTCAGAGATTATCTGCCAAAACAATTCATCTGAAGAAAGAATAAAGCTCACAAATGTCTTCATTTTCTTTATTCACAACTGCCACCTGCTGCTCGGTTTATCTTTCATCATAGCCCTGCCCGCCAATAATTCAGCAAAATTCATGACAAAAAAAAAAAACGATTAAAAATGCATCAATAGTACAAAGAAAACTCTTTACACTGAGAACATCAGGACAAGTGCAATGCAGCATTTCAATATTAGTTTCTGAAATAAAAAGCACTTTGAAAAACAAATAAAATCATTATAATTCACAACCGAGATATACTTTGAGCATGTCATGCAAATCCAGTGAGTGAAAGAGTCCAAACAGAGAGAAAATTATATGATAAGTAACATTTTCAGCAGTTTGAAAATGACAAGGTGTCCAGTGGCTGGCAGCTACAGGAGCACATGATGATGACAAAATGAAAACAAGATATGAAATACTGACTGAATCTGAAGTGTTCAGGAAAGATGTCTTAAAAAGAAAGTGTTAAACCAGACAGGGAGACGTGGCTGGACAGACTGATCTGAACTGAAACCATTTTGAAAGTCCATGATTAGAACTGACACATGTTGACGAATGTTGGAACATAGTGGCTTAAAAACTGTCCTGACAAATGTGTTACGTGGTATTAAGAAAGCAGACTTTGGCCTAGTCTAGCAGAACACTGAATTCTACCACAGGAAGTACATTTTGGGAAATATGTTATCTTTCTGAACGCGAGATGCAAAGATCAACTCTCATGTCTGTGCGTTAAGTACAATCTGACTAACTACTATATGGCTTAACTGTATTTGGATGTAAAATCGATTATTCGACAGTCTATTCCTTTTTTAAGATAAATGGTCATAGCTCAGTAACTGACTCGTACTGCAGTGTTGAGTTTCTCTCCTGCCGGGCCGCATGAAAAAACAAAGGGAGTTTCTGTTTTCGCTGTGCACGTTCCTACGACAGGCATGTAGTTCTTGGAGGAACTGACGCCAAAGGTGAAAGTATTGGAGCTGTCAAAAAAATTATTCACACTTCATGATGATGTAATAGTGACTGTTACCAATAGGTTGTCTCAAGCTTGTTCAATGGTGAAACTAACTCTCTCACTCAAGCTGACTCCGCTGTTACAGACCAGACTAAAATAGACCAACCAACATCTCATCACATCTGAAACGGACTCAAGTGATCAACATGTATCTTGTTTGTTAAACTCAAAGTTAAAGTGCTAGAGACGCTGTCAGACAAACTTCCAACAGACAAGCTTGAGTTTGTCCAGTGTTGAGTAGTGACCCCACTTTACTTCCCTTACGGGTTTAAAAGGCTCTGTCTATATTACTGTTATTGTACGCGTCAACAAACTAGATACATCCAAGTTGTTGCTGTCTGTATATTAGAGTTGTAAAATGAGCTACACTTGTAGATTTCATCATTATACCATTGTAAGCTAAACACATGCTGCTCTCACTCCGTCCCAAACACACGACAATAGAGCCAATCTTTTTATCTGTGTCAGAAAAAATATATATTTCCCAAAATTCCTGCTATAATTAAACTGTAAATCAATAAAATCTTCTCTGGCTACAGTCATTTTCAAAGGCAGATAATGAAAACGTATTAGTGTCTCACGCTTCTGGGGGCGAATGACGGATCCCTCCCTTGATTGAAATCGCCCCTTATCAACTTCAGCAAGTTTATAAGACTCAACAGCTTTGTGTTAATGTACAACAACAAAGACTTATCTTGCTACAGAGAGAATGAGCAACACGAAGCTAACGCTGCGATGCTTTACAGTCAAAACAGTCAACGATCAGCAGCGAGCCCCTATAGTTCGTGAAACCATTTAAGAAACAGAAAGTACACCTGAAACTAGACCAGATAAAGCAGAGGTCTGATCCATTGTCAACAAAGATAACAAAGGCACAACAGTCCTGAGGTACAGCAGCCTTCAAAACCGTAGTTTCAAATAAAATCTCTCTTAACAGATTTCTGCCAAGAAAATCACCTAAAAGTGTGGACATACCGAAGAGTAGTGCGGTCAGAAATGGGTGTCCGAGTGTAACCTGGAAGAAGGCGCACATGTTTCTGACAACATGCGATTGTGAAAATGGCTGGGCAGAAATCTGAAGTGAACCTCGCTTCACCCGAGTCCAACAAGAGAGAGAACAAAAAGAGATTTACTAGCACAATGCTCCGCACATGTCATGCTACCCTGTCAGTGCTACGGAAACACAAAACAGTAAGTGGACATGGAGATGATCTGGTGAGATGAAAAGCTCGGATACGTTCAGCATTTCATCTCCTTGTTTATGAATTTTTTTAATTTGTGCAATGTGAACACATTTTCCCTGAACATGTTTAATGATCAAATCTAAATTTATAAATACACATAAAACTTAAAAGTTAAAGGAGAGGATCAGATTTATTTTTTTTAAATTCATGTACATCTCAAAAGTTCTTGGTCACAATCATTCTTCCTGTCGATCCTGGCTACGAAGAGATCATTCTGTAGCGCAACTAAATTGTCAGACAATTATATAACTTTCCAAAACCGACCGTCCAAAATGCAAGCCCACTTCACGCTGTGGACAGGTGTCCAGAGACGAGAACATGGGCTGTGTGCGAGCTTTTCCCTCAAGCTTTCCTTTTCCATTCTTTACTACTTGACGTGACATAGTGCAACATCCCCGTTGTTACAGTTCATCTTTCCTTGCAACGCTGCAACAGCAGGCTGTTCATCCAGCCCTCAAAGTGCAGCTATTTAGAACGACTCTAAACGTCCATATAAATGTTTGCCTTTAGATGTAATCAGAAGACAGCATTCATAAATGACCTACATAGTGAGCCCTTTAAACCATGTGGGATTTTACATAGACCGTAATTGCTAACCAGGTCACACAATATGATGTAAGATAAGGGCAACACCCGAGCAGTGAATCCACTTGAGCTGAACTTTTGAATGAATTTTTGCAAAGAACAAGAACCAGGGAATTCAGCCTCCATTTCCTACAGTTTAGTCGCGCTGTAAAAAGATCTCTTCGTGGACTGGGAGTAATAGTTACAGTGACCAACAACTCTTAGTGTACATATAGTATATAAATATTGCATTATTGACTAACACTGACTTAAAAAAACTCTGATCCATCCTCTTGACCCAAAGCTGTAAAATCTAAAACTGATTCCGTGTCAAATTATCAGACAAAAAGCAGCTCGGGGCCATTTCTGTCAGAACAAATCAAGTGCTGTGTTTGTCTCACTTTGCACATCCACCTGACCTAAAGAACCTCCCTGTGCTCGGATCAGTAAAGAATAGCAGCACAAAAAAACAAACATATTGCTTCCTATACATGGGACAGCTGCACTGTCACTGCAAGGACTCCTCAGGGATTCAAAATGTATGAAGAGATAAAGGAAAAACAGAGGAAGGAAGAATCCGTTACCAACCCCATGTTTTCAGCCAGTTACATTTCAGCAGCTACAAAGCTCTCCAACTATCCCTTTTTGATACAATGGCTGAAAACATGTCCCTCCCTGAACGTGACAGAGTAACTCAAAATGGAAGATAAAAAATCCAGAGAAAAGCTGGAGCAGCACAGAAAACAATTAAATCCAGGCCATGGACAAGCAAAGAAGATTCAACAAAAAAAAATTAATGCGTCACCCCTGAATTGAACAGAGATATTTGGCACTTTATTGTACTGAGTCCAGACATGTGGATGGATGGAAGCAGAAGGAGGGTCTGAAGTCACATTGAGAGGGTTCAGACGATGGCGTTGGTGCCTCTGAGACCGACCCCACGGGCGAACTGCTCCAGCAGGCCGGAGATGGCGCCAGAGGGGCTCGGTGCCGAAGATTTGAGGCCCACGGTGGAGCTGTAGGCTGCCAGGAAGACTTCCCGCACTGCCTCCAGACGGGCCTGGCGCTCCGAGGGGAAGGGAAACCTAGAGAGGAAAGAGGAGGGGGAGGAAACAAGAGGGTGCAGGATCAGAAGACAGAAAGGAAAAGCTTACAGAAACAGGTTTTAAATTATAATAACGATCAGACACAAGAATTTTAGATCAGTGCTCACATACAATCATCATCATCAATTTCCTCATCAACTGTCGCGTTCTCTCCCTTTGAGAGATGAATAGATGTTATTTGCCTTCTCTGACTCTGAAGTGATACAGACGGGACACTCTCAGTTTGGCAGTCAGATCAAGCAGAAATTAAAATGGGTCCCCTGATGGGAGCAGATAGGAGGAGGACGACTCAAAGGGAGAACCCAGTGGAGAAATTCAGCTCATGATTCTCCTCCATCTTCTGCTCGGTTCCGCAGAGGAAACTAGATCAGTGACAAAAACTTTTCCGACTGGAAACCATCGCTGCTGAGCTATATTTATTTTTTACATGAACACAGAAAATACATTTTGTGATCTATTGGCCAACATACGTATAGAGAGAATGTAACTTTAACCTATGTAAAGAGTTCCATCACTCTGGAGAGAAAGGAAACTGTATTCAATCTAATATGCGACAATATTTTGTCTTATATTTCCGCACTAAACAATCATGTGATCATTTATTGCAACACTCAGTTGTTTTTAAGTCTGTCTACAGTGAGTCTTTCAGAGTCAATCAGCCCTACATGTGTTTGGGTAGTTCAGATGAACCTGCAGTTCTCTGAAAGCTGTTTTAACATGTTCTCCTTCCACAATGGAAGAAACTCAGTTCTCCAGATGTCTTTACTGTAGAATGAACCAGGGAGAAAATCTGTTGAACGGAAAAAACTATAGATAACTAGAGATGAAGAGCTGAGACTAATGTGTGAAAAATGATTCAGAGGAATGGACTCACTACAGTCAGTCAGCTGACAGTGAATAGAGACGTCCAGCTCAACAAATATTCTGATAAACAGACAAATGCTGACACACTGTCAGATGGTTTCTGGGAGGATGAGAAGAAATTCACACTTTCTATGATCAGTGTGCTGATTCACATACACATGAAGGACTACTTCTTCTACGGGACACGGTTTAACCTTTCTTCTTCTAGCTAATGTCTGAGTGTGCTGTGTTGTGCTTTAATAGAAATTGTAATAATGTCACAGCACATATGCACCTCAAAATCCAAGGGAATACAATGCTGCACACATGCAGCTGCCATTAAAACTGCTGGTCACTATGGATCCGATCGACGACTTCAAGATGAATTCAACAACAAATATTCATAATAAATTCAATAACAAAGCAGCGTTACTTACAGTCGCCCACTGGCTCCGTCCTCTCTAAAACTGAAGGGCAGAGGGGAGTCATAGGCAGCAGCCACAGCTGACGAGGTGGAGGAGGTGGAGGCCAGTTGCGGAGGGAAGGGAGCATGGTCATGGATGCTTCCACAACCAGAAACTATCTGCCAACTGCCATACTCTGTAGAGAGCGACGAACCTGACCGAGTGTAATCTGCTGCTAACCTGAACAACAAAAAACACAACAAAAAAATATTTTCAATGGTTGATGCTAGTGTGCTAGGAAGCAGAGAGAGAAAAAAGCAGGACAGAAAGACAGAAAGAAAGAAAGTAAGAAAGATGGAAAGAAAGAATTCAGCATGTTGGGCACAATCATGTTTATATCCATCTCTGGTGCACTGTGCATGAGGATAATTAGCTGGTTTCAGACATAATCATTATCTTGCCAATATGTAGCTTGCAGCCTCCATCATAGGGGACAGATTCAGGTTTCATCGCCTTAACAATCACAATAAAACGTCAATAATATAGTAAAAGGGAGCACCCTCTATACACCACAAAATGGAGGCAGCACAGTATTATAGCGGTTATGTCTCTGCTATGTTGCTCTGTTGGTTTGTCGACCTGCTTATGTCTAAATTAAGATGCTGCACAGTTGAAGCTCTGTGCCTCCGGTGATCATCCAAAATTTACCCTGCTCAAGTGTTTGTATAAGTGAAGATGTCACGCAAACTTCAACGCTTGACTAAGTTGCATCGGCTCCGCCTCCCTCACCTTCTCCCGGGGACAGCCAATGGGCTGCTGCCAGTGCGCGTGACAGCATGATCGGATTGGTTGGAAGAGGAGGAGCTGGAAGACCTGGCCTCATTAAGTGGATGAGAGAGGTGCTCTTCCAGAGGGTGCTGCTTATTCCAAACAACCATCTGAGGAGAGGAGGTAGGACCTTTTCTCCTGAAGAGAGAGAAGAATGCATCATCAACAGAGGAGGAATGGGAGGAAGGGGAGGAATGGGAGGAAGAGGGGGAGCATGTGCAGCACTAACAGTTTATGATGTAAATGATTGATCCAGTGGTGATGAAATGAAGGAAAGAGAAATAGTCTATAAAGACTGAAGTATATTTTGACTAACATGAAGCAGCAATAAAGTTTAGTTGAACCTGACTCAATTTCTATGGCCTGTCATCCTGTTGTACATTGTTGTGATGTTGATTCAGTGACCACCAGGAGCAGTCCTCACTGTCCTGCAAGTTTGTCCAACTTTAACTGTTAGCTCAATAAAGTTATGAATAAAGTTGAAGTTGGCATTAATTATTGTTTATTTTGGCGAATAAGTATTATCGCAAACTAGAGGCAAGATTGACCTGATGCAAACGTCTTTACAGAGTCACCATTTCTTTTGCTGATAATGTGAAACATTACATGAAAAATCATTTGATTTTTATATTAATAAAATTAAAATCTTAATAGACACATCTCTACAGACAGACTGGCTAAAACATAAATTGGTCTTCATGAGCAGAAATGATGTACATGTTTATTTGAAAATAGAGCAGGGACGTGAGTGAGATCTAATCACAAGTGTTCACATTAGACACATTCTAGTCCAGGTGTGAGCTGAAAAATAGAGGGCATATAAGGGAATATAAAGATACTGACAAAGTACTAATGATAAAATATTCACAATCAAATTTCCTCAAAGTGAGTGCGTGTGTATGCATGTGCGTTTGTATGATACTGACCAGCTGGAGGCCTGGGGCTGGCTGGAGAACAGGTCCACAGTGTCGTTGTTGAGGCTGCCACCCACTTCCTCAGTAATGAGGGAGAACTCACTGCTGAGACTGGTCACACTGCCACGATCCCTCGACTCTGTAGCAAAGCACAAAGCTCTGTTAGTTCTGCTTCCACCTTTATATATTGAATTCAGAAATGTTTTTGATCTGCTTCATAGTTAGCACATCTGATACAGATGTGTATTTACGTTACAACAATAAAAGATGCTGTCTGCGTGACAACATTTTTTTAAGTTGGTTTAAGTTGGTAAGTAAATGGTTCTCAAAGTAAACTTTGTTCAAATGCTCTTTCTCAGTATTGTGGCAATTGTGTGTCAGGGTTACAAACAGAGTTTTCCTCCATCATTCCAACACAAACTTATACCAGACTTCAGAAGAAGCCATTTACACCTGTGAAACTGATGGTATCACATAACACAGTGAACCAATGACTGTACTAAACTATACACAAGGTTTGTTGCCCACAGACATAAAGGTTGGAGATGTAAGATGTTTTGAGTCCAAGCCTTACAATTCTAAAGACATGAAGACGTGTTATCACCCAGAGTCTTGTTGCTTTGTCTCTACCCCGACATTGTGCACAGCCTTTGTCAACCTTTCTCATTGCATCAGACCAGAAGCAAGTGGCAGGGGCTGCTTATGCTCCCACAAGTACGTCAGAAAACATAATCAGATGTGCTACATCAAGTTATAGCAAAGGTAAGGAGGTCAAGAGGAAAACGTGGGAAATATGTTAGAAATTGTTTCCATAGTAAGCATCCTGATTTAATGTTTTCCAGTTAAATCCAAGACCTTAGCTCCTAAACTCAAGACACATTCTTAAATGTGTTCATACTTACTAGTAATTTTATCACATATTATTATCAAACTGTATTTTTTGAGTTTTCAGCATATCACAGGGCCAACATACTAAAACAAACAACCATTCACACTCACAATTTACCCTAACCCCAATCTGTATAAGTTTAGACTGTGGGAGGAACCTGGAGTACCCGGAGAGAACCCACACACACACACACACACACACACACACACACACANACACACACACACACACACACACACACACACACACACACACACATATAAAATACATTCTGTACAGATGAATCTGAATGTTAAATGAGCTACATCCATCAAAGGAGCCTGTACAGTTACATAGAGAGGGAGGCTCATGTGAGACACACTGACTTACTTAACTGGCAGAGATCCTCCACAGTGAAATCACTGTCCTTGAAGTGAGAGTTCTTCCTTCTGTCAGAAAAAGAATATGTTATGAAGTAACATCAGATCAAAAGAACAGAGAGAATCTGGTTATTCACTGAGAGAGAGAGAGCGAGCGAGAGAGAGAGAGAGAGAGATAGAAGGAAGTACACACCTCTGTTTCTTAACAGCAGAGAACTTCTCTGAGACAATGTGCTTCAAAAAATTGAAGCAAAAGAAGAAAATCTGGGGGAGAGAGAGAGGAAACAATTTAATGAGAGAAGTAAACACGTTGTTTTTTTTACTGGTAACACTTGTGAAGAGACAAACCGCAGGTTAAACTTAATTTAGCTTCATTCTGCTCTACTGAGACTTCTCTACATTTACATTTTATTTCTGCTGCTTTTCTGATACAGTTCTCCCTCTGTAGGAGAGAAATTAGTGATAGTTAACTTTTAGGGAAGTGTAACTTTGAGCACGACTGACAACATATTGGGTTTCCTTAGTTTATACTGTATAAATGCATTACACAATCATTTTAAGGATCCCCTAAATTTGCTTGTATGAGTATGTGTGAGCAGGACATTTAACAGATGGGAAAAAAATTGCATTATATATGTGGTTTCTAAACTTACATTTCTTGTTACTTAGAGGCCAACATGTAAGACATTACACAGCATCTCGGATAAGTTACAACCAGCAGAAGATAATGGCTGTTCTGATCATCAAACCTATATCAATCTTGCCTCTTAAAAAAATACATTTGCAGGTGGAGCTTCACTTTTCTCTTTAGCCGATTTCAACTGTCAGTGTTTGCAAATGTTTTCATTCATTTATCTTACACATGGCTGTACTTTAACACAAACAAGACCCTTACTGAGGAAGCTGTGTTTTTGTTTGTCTGTTAGTCAGCAGCATTATACAAAAGTACTGGATAGTTTACCATTGACACTTGGTGGAAGGATGTGGTATGTGTCAGGATAGAACCCATTCAATTTTGGCACAGATTATGGTCACAGGTTGATCCATTTAACAATATGGGGAATTTAGGTATTTTTCAACATTTATTTTGAATTTTGATGGAAAAAAGTTATGAATGTGTGAAATTTGGTGCAGATCCAAATAAAAATCTAGTGAATTCATTTGACCCAGTCTGGGTGAGGCTGAATGAAATTCGTGCAGCTGCAGTGACGAAAGATTTCACCAACAAATGAGTATATGGGCACAGATAAGAGCAAAAGAAAAAAATATAAAGGAATTTTATTTAACAGTCACTTCATCAGTTGGAATCTGAGTTGAAACATCACTGAGGCTATATCATCATCATCATCATCATCATCATCATCACAGAAAAAAACGAACGTACCTCCTCCCCTTTGGAGAGTCGATCTGGCAGCATGTGACTGGAAATAGAAACAGAACAATGGACTTCAATAAATACCAGCTGACTCTTACTTTTGTCAACAAACTATTCAACCAAGCCCTGTATTGTAAAAGCTACAACACGTTTAATTAAAATGAATTTTTACTTTTTGCGTTTGAGTCTTTTGTGTTGTAAAAGTAAAACTTTAAGCAAAGTGAGCATACTGATGTATAATTACACTGGCTAACTGACATTGAACAGACTTTTTCTGCTTCTGATTAGGTCTCATTGGAGACATGGAGGCTGGTAATTATGAATGGAGTACCCCGAGAGCGTGTGTGTGTTGTTGCATGCATGAATACATGTGTGCGAGAGAGAGAGAGAGAGAAAGAAAGACAGAGAGAGGAGAGAGAATGTGGTCAAAAGCAAAGCCACACTTGTTTCATCTCATGTCGCTCCCAGTGCTTCATTAAACAGTCACTATTCAATTATACAAACACAGAGAGTCTAAAACAAGGTGGCACCAAGATGTTTGCAAATGCAACTCTGAAGTATTTATGCCCATTGGGTTATGGCTTGCAGGGAAGTCATGAAATGATGATGGTGATTATGTAAATTATTGTTTTTACCCGAAGAGGAACCAGTCGTAACTGATGGTCAGATACAGGATCTCAGCTGGCTCCAGGCTGGCATGCACCGCACCGTCCTGTGACATGACAGAAAGTGAGTCACACAACTGTCAAATATCCCATGTTTAAAAATACTAGTGCAGTATCCATTCTAAACTTGACTGTTAGCTTGTCCTGTGTTAGAGCTCCAGAGCTACTTCAGAATTATTCCTCATTAGTGAGTCCCCCTCATACATTTCTACAATATACTATCACTTTTTATTGTTTGTGTGCTGGATGTTGTGTACAGAATCATTTCTGTTCACGTGTGTGGCTCATATATATGTTTGAATGGTTTACTTAACTGGTGCTGGCTTTTTATACATCCAAAAGAAAGCCCTGTAATTCAGCTTGATATACAGCATTGGCCGCAACAAAACATTGTGCTTTTACTTTGTCGACAAATGTATGTAAGAATGTCTGTCGCAGTTCAATATCGTGAAATAAAAAATATCAAAATTATCTGACGGGATTTTAACACACGGTTTGACCCAGTTACTGACCACTAGTTTGCTGCACTTTATCTGGCAATTTAAAATACAAATGCCAAGTGTGAAGCTGGTTAGATTAACATTTCCCAAGATAGGCGTTTCACATAGATTTGTGGAATTAGTAGGTAAGATATATATACACACATATATATATATTTGCCCCAGAGTCTAATCATCCATGAAATATTATGCAGCCTAGGACACCAAAACTGGATTTCTCATTCAATTTGAAAAGCTCTTCGAGAAGTGTAGCCTGTGACAACATTAGAAGCTTCCAGTATTCACCATGTCTTGGGAAAAGGCTGCACACACATGTCAGTTCTATTTTTAATAAAGGTGCTGAATAGAGAAGAGTGTAATTAAAGCGCGTGTTTGAAATTGAATGAACGAGAAAGGGCACTGGGGCCAGGGCAGATGGATTCACCGTGGGATTACTCAACTCACTAATGAATGCTGGAGGAGCTAAATGAGCTTCTAGGTGACTGAGTGTCATGAGGAGAGACACCAGGGGAGAATAAAGGAGACTGAAAAAGAGCAAAAGGAGGAGAAGGAGGACTTACTGCCCACAGGGAGAGCCTGAGGAGGGACACAAACAGAGGAGTCCGGTCCCAGCCTGATATACAGTGCACCAGGAGGCCGCTCTGATCTGGAACAACATACAAAATCACCTTCAGCCACACTTTAAATGCTCATACAAGCATTGTGAATATGAACCAGTCCGTTTGATGTGAACAAACTGAAGCTTCTGACCTGTATCTGCTGGGTGGATAAGGTGCTCCTAATCATTGAGTGTATTTCATAACAAATTGGAAAGTCTTCTGTCATATGTGCTTGATGAATAGAGTCTCTGAATGTTAAGTACTGAGGCAAAACAGGAAATGAGATGATGTACCTCTGAGGACAAATGTGTAAAACTGTCAATAACAACATACACATTCAGTGTTGCATGTGTAAATAAAACATGAGTTTTGTGTATGCACATATATAAAAAACAAGGTCATGAGCCACGGTTATTATCACACACAGCAGTCACTGCACAGAAGCTCTTGCTGCGGTGTGCACGGTAACATCGCTACTTCCGGTAGTGGACATTTAGGGTAACAACACAGTGTAAATGACACAGTTTTGAGTCGAATTTGAATGTCGGGGCTTAGTGACACTTGGATGACACCACAGGAGCAGTATAGAGGCATTTCATAGATTTTTTTCTGTTGTTTGAAGGATCGGTCACCATTTATTTCAATTGTGTTGGATTTAGCTGCAACGCTGTTTACCCCTGTTGTGTAAGCTGTGGTGAGTAGATGAGGGAATTTTCATTTCATTTCATTTCACTATCCCAGCATTTCCGGCATTTCCACAAGGGTGTGATGTCAATTTTAATTCAAAGTTTCACAAATTAGACACTGTGGCGATGCCAGTGTGAAACCCAACATCTGAGTCTGGGACTGTCTGCATTGTGAACCGAAGGGTCGGGATCCTAGTCCCACAAACGTCACCTACCATCATTGTTGATGAAGTGGAGCAGCAGCTTCAGGTAGTTCTGGGTCTGCTCCACCAGGTCCCACGACTAATCAACAAAAACACACATCAGAGTAAAAGTATGCTGTTGGTAAAACTGAAAAATGAAAGTAGTGAAGAGAGTTTTAACCATTCATGAGACAATGTTCCCCTGAAAAACCACCAAACACTTCTGTCAACTGCACAAACCACCTATTAGTTTAACTAAATTAAATATTCAATATCTGAGCCTTTCATGGTTGCACCAATATTTGAAACAGCTTTCATGGTGTTTTTAAATTTTAAAGTTAAGTTAGAACATGTGGGTTTCAACAATTCTTCAGTGTGGTTACACTGTAAATATTACAGTAGGTGTGCAGTGCAAATGCTCATGAATTATGACTAAAGCACTTTGTAGGTTGGACAACAGATGGCACTGACACACTACAAATAAGAGCATAGCAGAGGAGAGGAGAGGAGAGGAGAGGAGAGGAGAGGAGAGGAGAAGAGAAGAGAGCAGAGATGAAAAGGTCACCTGGTATTGAGTCCAGTCAATATTCAAGTTCTGAGTAAAGCACACAGGGATTGTCAAAGGAGCATCCACATAGTCCTGTCAGAAGAGACACAGTGAAATCAGATTCAACAGAGCAGAGTTGACTTGAGCTTTCAATGATTCATCAGTTATCTTTCCACTAACATTTTCAACAACTGAATATTAATCAACTGACAATGGGGAACATGAGGACATGTAGTATTTGTTGCTGTAGTTTGCTCTAGCAATCGGATGCACCACTTTCTTTACAGAGCAGCACAACTCTAAAGCTGTTCTGTGCTGCTTGCTGAGGCAGTCATGTTGATGAACTGCAGCATGAAGTTGTGAAAACTACAGAGGTGGCAGCTGTCCAGTTCAGCGAGCTAACTAAGTCCTGTGACAATACTAAACTGGACTGGATTACATCTGGTTTAACTGATTAAATTGGTGTGATGATGTTTGTGCATCCCCAGGACATGTGTAGTACACAAATGATCTTTCATAAAGTAGATAAACTGGAGATGAAGGATATGTTCTATGGATATGTATGAATTATATATATATAATAAAACCTAAATAACCACTGCAAGTCACAATTTATTGACAATTAACAGACTATTGTTCGTAAACGTAGCTGGATTAAGGAAACTGATTCCTTCTATGATCGCAGAATAAACAGATTGTACCTGATTCCAGTTGAACACCAGACCTTCAGCTGTATAGTCTCTGTCTTTGTAGTCCTTAAAAAACTCACACCCTTAATAAAGACAAGATGAAAATAATCAGTTATCATATGGTCACACATTAAACTCCAAACTCGTGTGTGAAGATGACAGACGATGATAAGAAGTGTGTAACAACTGCGAGCATCTCTGAAGCTTTCCCTCACATGTGTAAGACTCAACTTCTCTGGTTTTCACACACAGTGGAGAGTATGAACACATGTTTAGGGTGTGATGCAACCATAAGACAATTTTCTTTTATGTGGTTTTGTGCAGGTTTTGTCTTCACCAATGAGATTCTGTTCTCATTTTGTTTATCTCAGCAGGATGAACTGTCCATTTTACCACAGAATATGTTGGAAGAATGTGTTCAATTTGGTGAAGATCCTTATCAGGAGGTTGAACAAGGAATATTTTGCACTTTCTCTAACATTGCCACATAGGACATTATTCAACCTTTGTGTTGATCTCTCAAAGAATAATTCATGATCTTGATGAAAAAAAATCACATATATCGATATATTTGAGTTTGTTCAAGAAGAAGATCCCATGTAGTGAATTTAATGTGTTTTCATAAAGGGAATGTTGGGCCCTGGTAAAGGTCATGCCAACAAGTTGATGACTGGTATCAGTTTTAGTGTTTAGAATCCTGATAATGACATATAGACTGATAGTTGAGTGACTGAGGGAGTCAGTTCTTTACCTGGATAAGGCACAGAGAGCAAGGTGAAGTCTGCATAGCGTTGAGCCTTGTCAGCCTTCTCAGATGATGTCACACTGCACAGACAGGAAGACAAGCAGTTCTCCACATGGTCCAGCATATATTAAGGCACACATGCAGAAAGACACTGCAGTGCAATAAAGTGCAGCTACGTCTAAGAGGAAGTGTCTTTACCATACATTTTGTGAATCACTGTACATCTTTAAATAGATATTAAATACAGTGGCCAGAATAAATATGAGCCTTTTTGGATTAGCCTGGTTTTCTGGTGGTCATAAAATGTGATTTGATCTTAATTCAAGTTAGAACAATCAAGACATTATTAAGCTGATAAAACACAAGCAATTTTAACTTTTATAATATTTTGTGTATCCGTGGAACTCACCCAATAAACTTAGCATGAGTAAAAAAGGCAAGGAATTTAATAACTGGTCCTTTCACAGCAAGAACTACAAACAAGCTCTTTCTGCGTTCATAGGCAGATAGCTGTTATAGAGATGAGCCTAAAATCATCTGGACCTGAAACACCTACACAAAGTAACACTGCTTGTGTTTTGTGTGGAGAAATGGTCGACTTGATAAAATAAACTAGTCAGACTTTAAACAGTGTTTGATAAACGGAAGACAGAGTCTTGGCCCAGAGGCAAATTCGTCTTCAGACGATAGAACTAGTGGATCTGAGATTGCTTCAGCTCAGACGTTTTTCCAGATGTCTGAAGTGAACATTTCGTTCGAGTTCATTAAACGGCTTCGCTGTTGTGGTAAAATCTGGACTGACTGGGCCAACACAACACACTGATCTCCAGTAGATTTACAGACATTGTCCTGATGCTTCACTCAACTTCTACTGATGTTCGGCTGGTGAACAGACACCCTCACATCTTTCTGTGAGATACACTGACAAACTTGGGGATTCAGTTTATCCAGGTTTAAAGCTCCCTGCACTGCACTTTAATGATGATATTTTCATGCTGGTATGCAGTGCACTGTTTACACCAAATGTAGTGCTGCATGTTCTTCCCAAACAATTCAAACTTAATTTCATCAGTCCGCAAAAAATTCTCAGAAGTGTTTTAGAGATTCAAACTGCTCTTTGGCAAACTTCAGCCCTCTGTGATGTTTAATGGAGTGGAGCAGTAGCTTTGAAAGTTAAAGTATCTCTAACCCATACCTCCAGTCTGACTAGCCTCCAGGTTTGATTAATTCCTGACAGTCAGCGTTTGTTGACGTCATTAACCGAAGGTTCAAATACATTTTACAACTTAGATGTGAAAGACTGAATTGTTGAAGTATTTAATATGAACAAGAAGTATACAATGATTTGTATGTTACTAGTTAAAGTAGATAGTAGTGTTTGTTCATACTTTAATATCATAAGGATATGACCACATCTGAAGAGCTAATGTATATACTAATGCATTTTCTTGTTTTAAGCCTGTTTCCTGCCTCATTGACATAATATTCAGTACCACTTGAATGAAGCAAATATGGAACATCTGCAAAATCTGGTGAAAAAGCAGTGACATACACAAAGAATACACTGGTGAAAATGTCAAGAGAGTTTATAGTGATAAGAGCTGACACCGGTGTCTGTGTTTTGTCAAGAAAATAACGTGATCTCCGCAACAGAATTAATACTCCCTGCTTCTGTTTGCTACATCCGGCTGCTCCACCTCTCGCCTGAATAATGCAGAGTGCCTCTCGCTGCGTTGTGCATGTGTGAAAAGCAAACTACGGGTAGAGTCCGGTCCAAATTCTTCGGACTTTATCGGCAGGGCATATCTGAAAACGGCTTAAAATACTCAGCATGAATTCTGCAGGTTATTATAAAGATTAGTTCTACATGCGGGTGATTAGAAAAGAGCAGAGAAGCAGAATCACGCTGCTGAACCGCAAATCTCACTCAGGCAGTGTAGATACTCTAATTTGTTAACATGATAATTTTTCTTTAAAGTTCAATCAGTGTGTGAAGTTTTCCAAAAGTCAATACGTAATTGTGCTAAACAATCGTGACCATGATTTTTGCTGTAATCGAGCAGCCCTAGCCAGCAGTCGGATTCCTTCCCTGTGGTTTCTTGCTACACAGAGCAGTTCAAACAGTGACCTAAATAACAGCCAGAGTGTGAATGCTGTTCCTTACTTTAGGCCAAACTTAACCTTCTTGTTCTCCACCATCAGATCACAGATGTAGCGAACCGAAAGGTAACGGAGCAGCTTAATGTCGTGGCCTCGGACCTTGTCAAAGAGCTGCGAGTCTCCGTTCCTGAGGACAACAACAAAAGTGGGGAAAAATTGAAATAAGGGAACTATTGGAAGAAAAAGGTACATTCCTTGTTTGATGTCTTCATTTTAAAAAAATGTTTAAGTTTACTTTGCGTCATTCATGGATAAAGAATTTGTGCTCCATCACTTTTTATGCACCTTCACTGGGGTCAGTCACTTGCTTGTTTGTTTTACTGCCATCACAAGTTTACTAATCTTGTTAGAGTAATCAGATTACCTGACGGCACTGTCATCCTCGGGAACCTCCTCTGACTCTGTCCACGTGTCATCACTGCCCCCTGCAACACACACGTATACATGGTGAGTGGAGGTTCACCTCCACATACATACATCAAGTTGTGAACATTCTATATACAACAACAAAATAGTTCATTTAAAAAAAAAAACCTGTTTAAGTTAATGCATCAAGAATTTTTAGAAAGAGAAACATCAGAACGGGTTTCTATCCTTTCGATCATCTCTCTGCTAGATGTGAGCTAATCACTAAATGAGTGACAGGACCCGACTGTCTTTGCGTCGGGAATGTGGAACCTAAGAATAAGGAGCTTGACGTCAGATTTACAGTGAAAATGCAGAAAGATACGTTGGCTTTATCCCAAATAGAATCAGAGATTGAAGCTTTTAAAAAACAGACGTTGATTGTTGTCGTTAATTGGCGGCTGTGGCTGAGCAGTAGAGGGGTTGTCCTCCAACCAGAAGGTCGGCGGTAGAATCGAAGTTGAACCCTGAATGGCCCCTCATAGATGATGATTGCACTCATGTGAAGTCGCTTTGGATAAAAGCTTTAGCTAAATGACATGTAATATAAATAATAATCATCTGTTTACCTAAACTAACTGCCTGTTACAAAATGTCACCATGAGCTTTAATACCCTGAAAAAATCCTGTAGCAATCAGATTTAACATTTTGTCCATCTTTTTTGAAACCAGAACCACATTTGGGGGAGCAGGGGGTGGGGCCTGAGTGAGAGCACAAGGACACTGCACACTGATGGTACTAGGTGTCTATCTATCCAAGCCCCAATTCATACAATGCTTCGTCTATTTGACTCCAAACTTAAAATAACTCTAAAATGATACTGTAAATTCTCAGGAAAATTTTAACTGACATTATAAATCAAGTGAGGAGTAGAGTCATTTTCTCAGACTTCTATCGAAAAAGACTTGTTTTTACAACCAGTGGCGTCGCCCTCTGCTGGAGAGAATACAGGTTTCAGGCACTTCCACATTGGTTTAACTTTCCATACCTGGAGTCTAAATCAATGTTTTATACAGTCTGTGATTCAGACCCTGATTTATGTTATGTCATGTTTTTGAAATAACAGCAAATGAAAAATTCAAAAAGAAAATGTTTAAATTATAGTTATAATATTAGTTATATTATAACTGGTAATGATTTGTGCATCATGATGACAAAAGTCAGCCATATTAAGGGGACAGCTGTTGATGAGTGCGTGCAATCTGGTGCAAGTTGAAAGAATTTAAGGGGACTGTTGGGCCTTAGTGAACGTATCCAAGTGCTACTCTAGTTATGTCATATTTCCACATGGTTTTGGTGTGTGAGGTTTGACAGGTGCAGATGGAAAGATATATAGATAGATAGATTTTCTGGTCAAATTTGAATGGTTTGGATGGACACTTGTGAATATACTTGGTTTCTTTTATTGGTTACAGTATGTGTTAGTAACAAGAGATATTTCTAAGTACTTGAGGAGCATTAAGTCCTAATAGGAAAAGTTTGACAGGTGTCTGACATCTGCTGCAACTATTCTCAGGTCAGAGAGCACACACGGAACTGAAACGCACCATGGAAAAATAAGCCAGCCACAACTTCCCATGTTTTTGCTAAAATTGGGTTTATGGGTGTGTGTGTGTGTGTGTGTGTGTGGGTGTGGGTGTGTATTTGTTGTACCTGAAAAGATGTAGTTGTAGCCCGTGCGTCCATACAACTCCCCCCAGCCTGCCAGAGTGGACGACCGGCAAATATGCTGCAATGAGGAAGAGACAATACAAGAACAGAAAGTGTAGTTTTACTGCTCACTCCATCATGTATATCCTGCCACCTGTCCAACCACAATGTAAGAAGTAGGAAGTGGTGGCCACAGAAAAAGTTTCATTCTACAAAGAGGTGACACAATAAGGTATTTCTCATTTAATCTCCATAACCAGCCCTGCTTCTTCTTCTGTAACAGTGTTTTTCAGTACATGCACTCACAAGAACTAACTTATTTCCTTGTCTTGTTGAGCAAATTAGAACATTTTCAGTAGCAGTCACCTTAATTTCCAAATGTATTCAATATTTTGGTGAATCAACAGTAGCAGCACCCATGCCATGAGAACTTCACACGATCTATTAAAAGTCTTAGGTAACTGGTGTGATTGATGTGTGTTTAACTTTCAGCCAGAACTGGACACAGAACAAACCGTGATTCAAAGAAGATTTTGTGTTTGCAATGTTAAATGAGGAATCCCGCTGATTCAAATACACACTGTTTTGTGATTCACAGATTTGTTCGGGTCATTAAACACAGATGATTCATTCTTCAGGTTTAGTGACACTCCATCAACATCCGGCACAAACAAACGTTTCATGTTTAAAAATTGATTTGAATGATCAGCCCACTAATTGGTTCATTTCTAGCCTGCTCCATCGTGGCACCTGGGAAAAAGTGATCTTAACCCAAATAAAATGTTGTGATTTTGACTTGTTATATACAGCAGCTCTGAAAGGTGAGTGAAAATGAAAAATTATTTCGTGTCATCTGGGAAAATATGTGAAAAATATATTTTTCAGTTTATTTTTGTAATACTCCTTTTGGCCACAAGAGGCTTAAGTGCCCAGTCATAGATTGGAGCATTCATGTTTTCTTTCAGGTAATTTCTATTTCTCTATGCACTCTAAATACAAGGAACATAGATTGTGTTTTATCAAAGTTTACTGTCATGTCTTTCTATTGACTGGAAATGTTTTCTCATATAGAACCTGAAGAAGCTTGTCTTGAAACGTGTCAGCTTTTCTGAGGGGAAATATGAATATAGGTACTATTAAAGCCCTGAGGAGAGAGTGTAGTTTACTGTTGTGTAGCAGTACCTTGCCGTTGTAGAGGATGACGGGGCAGACAAACCTTCCTCTGCAGCGAGCCAGCTTACTCCGATTCACTAGGTCTTGCAGCTTACTGATCTGCAATGTGCTCTCAAACCTGGACACACAAAGCACCACGTTATCCATTAGACAGCCTACTCAGATTTTCATTTCAGTGGATGTGGATGCTAATTTGGCCATGAATATTTGAATGATCATATCATGAATTTAAAAGGTTTCAGTGAACATTTAACAGACAAAAAACACGTGTGCCTGATTGATTATTAATGATACACATTAATCAATGATTAGCAGAAGACTGCAGGATTTTTACCCCCATACATTTCTACCCTCTATAACCAATCATTCATTGCACAATAGACATAAATAGCCATTGTATATATACTACTATACCTCCTCAATATAGAAGCTTTTAATCATTGTACATTTTCATGATAAAAGATCTAATTTATAGTTTCTCCATACACACAGTGATGTCATCATGTTGCTTGCTTTGTCCGACTAACAAACAAAAAACTAAAGGTATTTAATTCACAAAAAAATTACAAATAATTTAAAGTCAACCAATCGTCACATTTGAGAGGATGACTAACTTTTGAATTGTTTTTGCATTCACGTAATAAAGAACCAACAGTTTTCTAAGTCAGTGGTTGAGCCAGAAATGTCTAAAGTATTCAATAATTGTTTGAAACCATTGCTATTTAATGCTTCAACTGGCACTATGTTTTTATGTCTTTGTCGTTTTAGGGGCCAGGATTTGTTAGTCTTGCCATCTGATGCTTTTCTTGTTTTAAGCCACTTTTTTGAGAATGATTCTGCTGAAGTTTTGAGCATGTGTTTTTATGACTCAGGCTTTGCAAGTTGTACTTCATGTATTGTGGTGAGTGGCTTATTCCAAAAGTGTGAAACAAATTAGTTGTTTTTAGAGATTGCGGCCTTCTGAGCAGCATCCATCGTTTCACATCCAAACCACAGCATGTGAGTTACGTTGGTCCAAATATGACGACGTGTATTATGAGGCTGGTGGTGGTGTCTGTATTTTGCCTCCTTTTTTCCTGTTTCCCAACTGTATTATTTTCCTATTTCAGCCGACAACATGCCCTTGTGAGACAGAATTGTCACTTCTCTTGATGTTATCTCAGGGACAGGAGATGAGTGACCTTTGCTCTCTGCACCACAGTAAGGTGTGCATGATTAGAGCAGCGATACAAACAAAAAAGAGGTAATAGGTAACTGAGTGGACTGGACTTTGTATCGGAAAACAATGAATTGGCCGAATAGTGGAGATGTACCTGTTGCTCTCGGCATCTGTGGATTCGTACTCCAGGAAAACTATCTGTCGGGGGTAATGTCCACACACTTCACCATTGGCGTTATGGATGATACTGTACTTGTAATCTCTGGCAAATAACTCCAGACATCGCCTCTCTATCGCCTCTACCTGAAGGGAGACAACAACAAACATTATGTCAGTGGTTTAAAAAGAAGACTCAGATTACAATGAGCAAACAGCAAGTTGTCAGTCATCAAAAACATCTAAACAGAATCAACACATGCTGCTACAAGTTCTGTGCCTGATGTTAGCATGGTTATAAAGTGAACTGATCTCCCTGGCCCATTTAATATCTTAATGTGGAATTGAAGATGTATGAAAGAACTGATTTACTGTTGATTGAACAATAGCATATTGATAATAAAAGTACTTTAAGACTATATATTGGGAAAATGTAACAACACTGACAGATATGAACGCACACAGTGAGCAAAGGTTCAGGAAGCAGCATTAATAACTCATGGTGAGAAGTTGAAAACAGAATCTATTTGGTTTGGGGTGTAACGATTCCTCACATCCATTTTTTGGTTCAGACTTTGTTTGTTTGTTTGTTTGCGGACTAGGTTCTGGCTGCAGGTAAATCCTCTGATTGTTGAGCTCTTTCAAATCACCAAACCTTTCCTCTAGGCATGATCACTCGGTCAAGGTTGGACCAAATGAACCATGTGACACATGCAGTTTGGTGTAGTATGTTATATGTAAAAAAAAAAAAAAAAGGGTTATGCAATAATTCTGAGGGGCCATTGCTCTAATCTCAAAAAAGTGAACACCCCCTGTGAGAGGCACAGGGATTTGCTTTGCATCAGTTTTTAAAATCTTGCATAAATGGAGTATATCAGATTTACCAACTGCAGGGCTACTCATATTTATGTAGCCCTGATCGTGATAAAGCGGATATTTAGTGAAGAGGTGCAGCTCAGTCACAGAGCTCAACAGGCTGCAGCTGTGACAGCAAGGCTCTGTCGCCCTGTATCGTGATATGTGACTGCGGACCTTTGTATCGCGGTTTTGGTTTGAGAGTTGTTGCAGTCGTAGTGTCAACACATGGAACTACTGACATTATTGAAATAAAGCTGCTTGTGTGCACTAGTGATGAGCACGGTCTTACCCGAGGAGTGACTTCCTTAGCTCTGTACTGCGTCTTGGAAAACAAATCTATCAAATCCGCTATTTCCTCGCTCTTTCTGACCGACAGCCCGGAGCCCGTGAAGCCGCCGGCCGGGGAGGACGAGGCGGCCATCATAGCGCCTCGACCCGCGGCGATGGCCTGTAGCCGAACTCGACCTCCTTCAAACACCGCAGAACCTTGTCCTTTGGTTCGGGAAGACCGACCAGGCCATCCCTTCCCAGCCAGCTTCTTCCTGACTGCCCGCTTGAGGGGGCCGGAGCCGGGGACTCGTCCTGAATTCAGGGCACCGGCGAGCGGCTACTCTCTCCGCACAGAAGCCGTTGCCAGCCCGCACAGCCAGCCCCTCGCACCGAGGAGTTAGCACTGCTAGCTAACACAATGCTCCAGCTGCCCAGGCTTAGTTAGCTCGGTTTCCCCTGACACGAAACCCTCGAAAACCCCTCAGACACAATTTCAGACCGTTGTAGTCCTCCACCACATGATCCCTGTAAGACTGACACAAGGTGAAGTGATGCGGCTCCGTGCAGCACAAACCGGACCGCAGTCCGTCAGCTGCGGTCAGGAAAGCTCCGGGATCCCTCCCGGCCTGCTCACGTTTCCTCAATGTCACGTCTCCATGTCTCCTTGGTAAACACGAGCACGGCAGCGAACAGAGAGAGGTGGAGCAGAAGACAGAGAAGCTGAGAGAGCTGCTGCTGCTGCTGCTGCTGCTGCTGTAATGAAGGACGAGAGCCAGAGAAGTGTGTTGCAATCAGTGTACTCCAGCCTGTCTGTGCAGCAGTAAACAGGAAGTGAACGCAACCACGTGACAGCTCAGCAGTCTCCCCTTTTAATGACGTGTGTTTTCAGTCAGAGCGGAGCTGAGCTGTTTGTGTCTCTGGAAAAACGGCTTTCCATATGTGTCTGCTGCTGCCACACGTTGTTTACTATCCCACTGCTGCTGCCACAC